GATCAGTAAGTACTCTCAACCCATGGACCATCTCTCCAGCTCTCTACCTCCTTTTATTTCTGAGAAAGGGCCCGAGTTCGCTCAGGATGGCTTTAAACTTGCTGTATAGTAAGTGACCTGGACTCCTGTCCTCCTGTCTCTATGTGCTGGAATTATAGGTGTGACCAACCCCGCCCCGGTATAACAGACATTTTGAAGAAAACACTGACTTGGGGAACTTAATATAAGGGAAAGGGCCAACTGAATAGAGGAAATTGCATTAGCAAAGATATGGACGTTCAAAAGATACGGCACCTTCCGGAAACCACAAGTGGTTCAGTACTGAGGGACTTGGTACTGCCTGTGAACTGAGTGGGAGGGCTCGCAGGCAGGAGCTGATCCCGAAGAGCCTTGCGACACGCTTGAGACGCTATCTCTGCAGTCCCAGTGATAAAGTAGTTGGAAGATGAAAATCGAACCGTGGCCCAGCCTTGCTTCAGTCTGACACACAATGGAGTCTGCTGGGCCTCTCCAACTGTCTCCACCCAACGTGGGCGGCACGCTTCTTCGTCCCAGACCCTCACTTCCTCTTAGGCTAACCAGACAGACTCCCAACCTAAACCCCAATTCCTCCATCTTACCGAGAAGACGTTCCCTGCGGTGTGCTCCCAAAGTCACCAGCACAGCCTTGTCACCTTCTTAGAGGCCTGACTTCTCCCATTCACAGTGTCAAACTTCAGGCGGGCAAACCCTGCTGGCTGACGAAAGATACTAAGTTAATGTCGGTAGGGGACGAATGCAGCTTGGGTATTTCCACCTGTGTGTCCCGGAGGGGTGCATTCTCCACTCAAAATCCAGCTCTCCGTCCCTTCCTCATACACCACACACCCCTTCCACCTTCCCTGCTCCGCACACCACGTGCCCCTGCTCAGATTCCTCCTCCTCCCTCTCCACACCCTCTCTGACTGTGTGGCAGCAGAGCCCACCACAAACACGGCTGCAAACGTTTGGCTAGATGAAAGAGGAGCTCATGCTTAAGTACTGAGAGGACCCGTGATTCTTTTTTGCTTCTTTGTTTGGGAGAGGGGATTATGCTGCCTGGGCTTGGCTTTGTACATTCCATGTGGGCTGAGGATGACCTTGAACTTTGATTCTCTGACTCTACTACGCCAGTGTTGGGATTACAGCTGTGTGCCACCACACCTGGCTATTTATTATTATTATTATTACTACTAGTATTATTCTTTTTTATTTTTTAAATGATTTTATTTATATTATACATACAGTATTCTGGCATTCAGGCCAGAAGAGGGTATGAGATCTCATTACAGATGGTTGTGAGCCACCATGTGGTTGCTGGGAATTGAACTCAGGACCTCTGGAAGACTAGCCAGTGCTCTTAACCTCTGAGCCATCTCTCCAGCCCTTTGATTTTTTTTTAAATTTCATGTGCATTGATGTTTTGCCTGCATGTGTACCTGTGTGAGGCAGTTGGAACTGGAGTTACAGACGGTTTTGATCTGCCACGTGGATGCTGGGAATTGAGCCAGTGCTCTTAACCACAGAGTCATCTCCAGCTCCTTTTGTTTCATGTGTACAGGTGTTTTGCCTGCATGTGTATATGTGTGATTTGTGCATGCTTCCTGCCCAAGGAGGCTGAAAGAAGGTGTCAGATCCCTATTAGGAACTGGAAGAGAGCTGTGAGCCACTATGTAAATGCTGGGAATTGAACCCAGGTCCTCTGAAAGAGCAAAAAGTGCTCTTAACCTTTCAGTCATCTCTACAGCCCCTGTTTCTATCAATTTTTAATTGTGTGTGTGTGTGTGTGTGTGTGTGTGTTTGAGTGCCTGTGAGTGAGTGGGTGTGAGTGATGTGTGTCTGTGAGTGAGTGGGTGTGAGTGGTGGGTATATGTGTGTGTGTGAGTGTGTGGGTATGTGTGTGAGTGTAAGTACAGATGCTTTCAGGGACCAGAGGCATTGGATCTTCCCAGAGATGGAATTACAGGTGGTTGTGAGTCCTCTGATGTAGATATAGCGGGAACTGAACTCAGGTACAGTAGCGGTGTGCATCCTTAACTCCCAAGCCATTTCTCCAGGCCTATTCATCTATCTTAGTACAGGGCTTCTCTGTGTAGCCCTGGCAATCCAGGAACTTGCTCTGTAGACCAGGCTGGCCTCAAACTCACAGATACCCACCTGCCTCTACCTCCTGAGTGCTGGGATTAAGTTGTGTGCTATTACCACACTTGGTTTTGTTTGTTTTTGAGACAGGGTCTTTTTATTTATCTTGTTTTGTACATTTTTCAAGAAGTGTTTCAGTGTGTAGCCCTGACTGTTGGCTGGCCTGGAACTCACTCTGTACACCAGGCCAGGATCTGACTGCTCCTGTCTCCCAAGTGCTGGGATTAAAGGTGTGTGCCTCCTGTCTCTTTTCTTAAAAAAAAAAAAAAGATTTATTTACTTTATGCATATGAGTGTTCTAGCTGCCTGTATGTCTTTGTGCCAGAAGAGGGCATCAGATCCTACTATAGATGGTTGTGAGTCACCAAGTGTTGCTGGGAATTGAACTCAGGACCTCTGGAAGAGCGGCCAGTGCTCTTAACCTCTGAGTCATCTCTCCAGACCTATTTTTGAGTTCTTACTAACATCTTTTCCTTAACTTTTTTTTTTTTTGGATTTTCAGGACAGGGTTTCTCTGTGGCTTTGGAGGCTGCCCTGGAACTCACTTGGTAGTCCAGGCTGGTCTCGAACTCACAGAGATCCGCCTGCCTCTGCCTCCCGAGTGCTGGGATTAAAGGCGTGCGCCACCAACGCCCGGCTCCTTTTCCTTAACTTTTTAAAAAATATTTATTTATTATATATGTAGTATGCAAATTTCTGCCTGCATGTCTGTCTGCAGGCCAGAAGAGGGCACCAGATCTCATTAAGGATGGTTGTGGGACTGGAGAGATGGCTCAGAGGTTAAGAGCACTGACTGCTCTTCCAGGGGTCCTGAGTTCAATTCCCAGGCTCACAACCATCTACAATTCAATCTGGCGCCCTCTTCTGGCCTGTAGACAGAACATTGTATATGTAATAAATAAATCTTTAAAAAAAAAAGGAAAAAAAAAAAAGGATGGTTGTGCAGGGCTAGCCGGTGGCATGGTCGGTCCAGCTTCTTCCCCTCTGTGCCTGTGAATGGAATGAAGACATCAGCTGTCTCGGAAGGCACCATGACTTCGGTTTGCAGGTGGTGAGTCTTTCTGGATACTGCATCACCAGATGACGGCTCCCTCCTCTGTACCTGGTCGTTCTGACGTGCAGTTCAGTGGCACCAGGGGCCGAGTTCTTCTCTTTCAGACTAAGTAACTCTGTCTGGATTGGAAGCTGCTGGAAGCAGTGGCTTCACAGTTTACTCCGGAAGGCACTTTCGAAGCAAACAATGTCTCTTTCCCCGTTTCAGTGAACCCATCTCCTCTATCGTACCGGAGGCTTGGGTGCTCTCCACGCTGTTTTGTTGGCTTCTAGACAACACATTAACATTAGATGTGTTCTGTGCTCTCCTGCGATTGGAACGGAGAATTACTTCTCCAAGCTTCATGTACCACTCCCCCATACTCAGCAGCCCCCGAATGAACGGGAATCTATGCACTTTGCATTGCATGGAACAGGACTTTCTCTCCCGCCTCCATTCCTCTCTGTGATCTCACCCTGGCTCCTGTGCCGTGGAACTCCTACTCACCCTCCAATAATGACTTTCACACCACCTTCTTCGTGAAGTCTTTAAGCAGTGGGCAGAGGAACAGAGTGAGCTTTTCTCCATCTTTTTGGCTTCCTCAGCTTTTCCCCCAAACAACTATAACAGTACTAAGTCATTATTTATTTAAATGCTTAGAAAATTATTATTATTTTGAGACGGGGTTTCTCTGTGTAGCTTTGTACACCAGGCTAGCCTCGAACTCACAGAAATCTGCTTATCTCTGCGTCCCAGGTGCTAAGATTAAAGGCGTGCACCACCACCTCCCAGCCAGAAAATTATTATTTTTTTTCAAGACAGGGCTTCTCTATGTAATAGGTCTGGCTCTCCTGAAACTCACTTTGTAGACCAGGCTGGCCTCTAACTCAGAGATTCACCTGTCTCTGCCTTCTGAGGGCTGGGATTAAAGGCGTGTGCCACCATGCCGGGCTATTTGTTTTATTTTTAATTATGTATAAATGTTATAGGTGTGTGTGTGTGTATGTGTGTGTGTGTGTGCAGATGAGTGCTGGTGTTAGCAGAGACCAGAGGCACTAAATACCCTAGAGCTGGAGTTACAGACAGTGTTAGCAATCTGAAGTGTGTGCTGGGTACGGAACTCAGGTCCTTTGGAAGAGCAGCCAGTGCTTTTAACCTCTGAGATGTCTCTCCAGCTCAAGACATTACTTGTTTACTTTTCTGCTGCCACTCTCGACTGAATTGCTTGAAAGCCAGGATCTCTGTCGTTTTATCTTCTTTACCCAGCACAGTGCTTGCCTATACTAGGTTTGTGGTTCAGTCAAAGAGCCGAGAAGCCAAACGATTCATCAAACGCTGCAGGTTGCACGAATCAGATTCCCAGACAATTCTAGGCCTGGTCCTCTACTTGGATTGAGCCATGCTGAGACCTCTCTCCCTTTCTCCCTCTTTGCCTTGTTTTGGCAGAACGGGAAAGGGACGAAAGTGGGAAGTGAGTGTTATTCCTCCAGGGCAGAGCTATAATTCACCTGCTCCGGCACCCAGAGGGTTACAGGGACCCAGGGGCGGAGCCAAGCCCGTGCCACCTGCTGCGGGGTGGGCTGGCGCATGCGCGCAGGCACCCGCTGGGCTACCTGCCGGGCGGGGCGGAGGAGGAGCGCTTGCGCTCTGGGCCTTTCCGCCGGGGTTGTGGGACGGGGGGACCAGGGGGAGAAGGGGGAGGAAGTCTCGCGGGGGCGGGGCGCGGCGGGGCGGGGCCGCGTGGGGAAGTTCTCGCGGGACCCTGCCTAGGAGCGGAAGCTAGGCTGCTGCTGCTTCAGCGATCGGGCGGCGGCGGCGGCGGCGGCAGTGCGAGCGCGGCTGACGCGGGGACGGTGGCCGGGGCAGCGGGAGCCGCCATCGGGGAGCAGCAGCGGGGTTGGCGGCCGCGGGCAGCAGCGCAGGGTGGGCCGGGCTTGGACAACGGAGCGGACGGCTGCGCCACGGTGAGTGCAAGACAGCGGGCGGCAGGAGAGCGGGAGCTCCGTCGTCCGGGCGGCGCGGCGGGCTGCCCGGGCCCGGTCTGCTCGGGGATGCCGGCGAGGGCCGCTCGCGGGCCGGGGAGGGCTCGGACCCGAGCTCAGTGGCTGCGCCGCCGTCTCCTCGTTTCCCCTTTTGGGGCGCTTCCTTCCTGGTGCCGGTCTTCCTCCCGCTTGCGGCAGAGACCCGGTGAGGGCTCGTGCTGCGGCCGCCCGCCTTGGCACGGGGTGGGGGGGGAGCCCGGAGCTTGGAGCAGCCGAGGGGCGCGGGGTGCTGTTCCGAGTCAGGCTGCCCCGAGCCCGGGAGGCGGGGGGGACTCGGTGCCGGCTGCTAACGTGGTGATTGATGCTCCTTTGACCCGCAGAGCAACCACGTCACCATCTCTGGGCATCTTGCGGCCGAATTGTGTGCGGGAATCCACCGTGTGTGAGGACGACTGTTGCCCGCACCCGTCCACGGGTCTTTGTCAGAGCTTTGGGCGCGTCGTTTTTAGAACGACTTGAAAAATACTTGTTGGGGGGGGGGGAGGCAGCAGCCGCCGCAGCTGACGGGAATGCCGGGAGGAAGGATCTCAGCGAGAGAGCCCCGCTGGCTCCTGCCCGTTTGCAACGCTCCGTGTGAGCTGGAGTTCGTTTAGAAAGTGGATTTTAGGCTGTCTTCCGATGCAGTCGCAGTGCAGTTTGCAGAGGAGCCGGAGCTCGCTCAGGGTCCGTCTTCTGGCTCTATTGACACTCAGAAGGGGCTGGAGAGATTGGCTTTATTTTGACTTCCGCACCCCTCTTCACTTTGTTCTCCGGTTCTTCTCAGCCTCCTTTCCACTCCATTTATAACGCTAGTCATTGACCCCTCCACCCTCCCTTTAAAAATAAGCTACTTCCCCTTCTTGCTGTTCCTCCGCTATAATTTTCGAAGTTTCTGCCCGTTTTGGCTCTGCTAATTTTCCCCGTCGTCCCAAGATGCCTTTTTCTTTTTTTCGGGAAGATACCTTTCCCCCTGTTTTCATTCCTTATAGCGTCCACTGTATTCTTCAGCCAGAAGAGCTGTTAGCGCATCATGGGGGCGGGAGGGGGGGTTAAGTTCTCTCCTGGGAACTGGGAGACTCAAAGGACTTAATTCATTCCAAAGAGCCACCAGATCACAAGTGGATTTTGCCTGTTTGCGTTTATCATTTGTATTTAGTGTCTTCTTCACAGATCATGGGCTTTAGCCTAGTATTTTCTTTCTCTCTCCTTCCTGTGCCTTTTCCCTGTTGAGGAATATTGAGAAATTTGGGGCTAAATGACTCCTTTTTGAGTTTTTAGTATGACTAACAGCTAATTGTCAAATGAAAATCAGCTGTGGATTTTATGAATTAAGATAGCTTGAAAAACATAAAGGAACAGAACTTTGGAAATGTGTGAATGAAAGCCTACCTATTCTAACTACTGATCCTTACCAGGCTTTTTAAATTGATTTATTTTATTTTTGTGTGGGTGAGTGTATTTTGCCTGCATGTATGTACCGGCACCATGTGTATGCTTGGTGCCCTCAGAGGCTAAAAGAGGGCAATACCCTGGAACTGGAGTTACAGAGGCTGTGAGCTGCCCTGTGGGTGCTGGGAATTGAACCCTGGTCCTCTGGAAGAGCAGCCAGTGCTCTTATCAGCTTGAGCTGTTACCTCTTTAGCCCATCTCTCCAGGTCAGTTGTTGGGTGTTGGTCACACTGAGATGGTTCTTTAGTGATCTGTTATGTCACATGTCAGCAGCATTACATAGACTTAGGAGATGTGACTACAGCACAGAGCCACCATGCTCTCCCCACAGAAGTTAGGACATACCGAGGAGCTTTACCAGTAATTATTGAGATTTGTTTTTGTGTTTGCCAAAGTTGGTTTTTCCCAGAGTTGTGCCAAGTTGAATATGTATCATTTTTATATTGTTCAGGCATAGTGCATTTTCTGGAATGCAAATTTTAAAACTTGCTTAAGATTCCAGTCAGTTTTTAGCAGTGAGTCTTAAAATTTGTATGCATAAACAATACCCGACAATAAATTAACTGGAATTTTTTAAAAATTCAGCTACTGTTTTGAGACGAGGTCTTGATTTATATATAGTCCAGGCTGGCCTCAAACCTCTTATTTATTTACTTGTTTAGTTACTTACTTTAAGGCAAGGACTCCCTATGTAGTCCTGACTGTCCCAGCACTTTCTATGTATACCAGGCTGACCTCAGACTCACAGAGATCCTCCTGCCTCTGCTTCTCATGTGCAGGGACTAAAGGAGGGCACCAGTATGCAAATATGCGTAGCCCTGCTTCAAACTTTGAATCATCCTGCTTCAGCCTTCACCCAGGGCTAGAAATTTAGGCTTATGCTACCATACTTGGTAGGGGTTTTTTGTTTTTTTTTTTAAATTAGGCTATGGTAGAACTCCAGCAGTGTAGTGTAATGTAAATTGAAACATTTTTGTAGGAAGCAAATAACTCAAAATAGCTGCAGGAAGTCCCTAAAACTGACCAGATTCACCAGGCGTCTCCTGCTGGATAAGCAATGAAAACTGAGGAGAAACCAAGTTGCAAAGAAGAAGCTTTAGACCAGACCAGCTGCCTGGAAGAAGCAAAAGCCAGGCAAGTTGCCGGAAGAGGGCTAGACAGAGTCGCTTGGAAAGGACTCCAGCCTATGGAGCTGCCTCCGGCAGTGCCGTGTGCTCCAGGTTTCCTAGCCTTCGTGAGCTGTCACTCATGCTGGGGTGGGATCTGGTGATGCAGCTGCCTTTGAGTCATTTCTGCTCCTGTAACTCCTCACCCATATTCCTGTAACTGACTCCAGTAGAACTCATCGGTTCACCAAGTTGGTGGCTTCCATACTTTGGTCTGTTGTGGGCCCTCTATCTGGGGAGAGTAGACGTGTGTTATGCCCTCCCCAGGAAAAGTTTGGTTACACATCGAGCTAGGCACCCTGTAACAGATTAGTTCTTGAGTGGGCTGATTTAAAACAATTGGTTTTTAGGTTTGCGTACAAATACTTGGATTAGGAGAAGACATTCCCCATTAGGAGGACCTCTCACTCTGGTGGAGTCACCCCCCCCTAGCAATTCAGCACTTGTTCCGTTTCCTTCTGGTGCAGGGGACTGATGCTGGGACTTTGCATGTGGGAGAGAAACGCTGTGCTATGCTTCAAACGCTGGACTAATTCTCTCGATTTTAATTTATTTATCAGTTCATCTGTTGCAAGCAGGCTAGCCTCAAGCACATTATGTAGCTGGAGATGACCTTGAATTTCTGATCCTCTTCTACTTCCAAAGTGTTTTGGGGTTATAGATGTAAGCTGCCACACCCCATTTGTATGGTGTTGGGGATGAAACTCAGGGCTTGTGCATGCTAGCCAAGCACTCTACCAATGTGGGCACATTTCCAGTCCCCCCCCGTAGTTAGTCTTACATATGCAATGTTAAGAATGATGGGGGGGGGCTGGAGAGATGGCTTAGCAGTTAAGAGCACTTGAGAGCTCTTCCAGAGGACCCAGGTTCGATTCCCAGCACCCACATGGCAGCCTACAGTTGTCAGTAACTCGTGTTCCAGGGGATCTGATGCCTTAATATAGACATACCTACAGGCAAAGGACCAACACATATAAAATAAATAAATGATTAAAGACTGATGTGAGGTGATTTAACTTTAAAACACGCATGTCTTCCCTGGGGCTGTGGTGGCGAGAGCCTAGCACACAGAGCGTGCTAAGGAGTGCTTTCCCTGAGTGTGTTTTGTGACAGGGCCCCTGTAGCCCAGCTTGCCCTCAGACTTGCTGTGTAGCTTACACGAGACTGGACTCTCCTCCCAAGTGCTGAGATTACAGGCATACGCCATGTGAACCCACAGCCTGAGTATGATAGGCAGGGCTTAGCTGATTAGCATTGTCATAGCCCCTAGGCTCAGCCCAGTTTGTGATTAATAAGACTGTTAATGGGCCTGAGTTCATATGTGTGGGTACTAGTTCAGACTTACCATCACATGTAGACTCAGAGTTGAACAGGGACCCATCATACTATTTTTTTTAAGATTCATTTTTATTTATTATGTATACAGTGTTCTGCCTGCATGTATGCCTGCAGGCCAGAAGAGGGCACTGGATCTCATTATGGGTGGTTGTAAGCCACCATGTGGTTGCTGAGAATTGAACTCAGGACCTCTGGAAGAACAGTCAGTGCTCTTAACCCCTGAGCCATCTCTCCAGCCCCCAGAATGCTATTCTTAATCATCCAAATGTTTTTATTAGATAGATACTGCTATTAGTCTTATATTCCAGTTGAGGGCACTAGGATTTTGAAAATGTAAGTTGCTTCTCTAGTGTCATTTTATTTGCAAATGCTGAAGGACTGGTTGCACCCAGGCCTTATACCAGAGCATCTGTAAGGCCTTCGGTTTACATTCCCAGTGCAAAGAAACAATGCTTACTGGAAGAACGAGGGTGCTACACAGAAAGTAATAGTATTCTGTTACCTACTGATGGAGAGAACAGTTGTTAGCCAAGCAGTTTTAGACATATACTCATGTATTATATTGCTTTACACAATTTGCAGGAAGTATTACTGGAGGAGGTGTTGGGATATGGCCTTGATATGTAGCCTTGGCTGGCTTGATGTGTAGCTTCAAATTTTTAGCAATCCTCCTGCCTCAGCCTCTGAGTGCCTGTATTTTGCAGTTTTTAAAACTTGAAAATATGTCTTGCTACCTCTGTAGAAGATCTCCCTTGATAACTAGAGAATACTGATTGATGGGTGTGGACTTTGCTCTATACTTGTCACTTTTAGTAATAAAAAATCTGGGAAGTGCCGGGCGGTGGTGGCGCACGCCTTTAATCCCAGCACTCGGAAGGCAGAGGCAGGCGGATCTCTGTGAGTTCGAGGCCAGGCTGGACCGACAGCCTCCAAAACAATACAGAGAAACCCTGTCTCGTAAAACCAAAAAAAAAAAAAAAAAATCTGGGAAGTAGATGCTAATGGTTTATATGTCAGCTGCCATGTCTAGCAGATAGTAACTCCTCAGTGTTGCTTCAGTAGACTTTTTTTTTTTTTTTGGTTTTTGGAGACAGGGTTTCTCTGTGGCTTTGGAGGCTGTCCTGGAACTCGCTTAGTAGTACAGGCTGGTCTCGAACTCACAGAGATCCGCCTGCCTTTGCCTCCCGAGTGCTGGGATTAAAGGCGTGCGCCACCAACGCCCGGCTTCAGTAGACTTTTAAAGAGTCAAAAATATTGCAGATTGGATAGTATATATCTTTAAAAAAATTCCATCAGTAAGCACGCAAAAGAAGTCCTTTTAAAGATTTATTTTTATTCGTGTGTGTGTGTGTGTGTGTGTGCGTGCGTGCGTGCGTGCGTGCCAAATGTGTGCCAAGTGTGTGTAAGAGGCTAGAAAAGGTGTCACTTCCCCTGGAAGTGGAGTTCCATGTGGGTCTGGGAATTGAACGACTTTGTCTTAGGAAGAAAATACACATGTATGTCTAACACTTGTGAAAGTTAAAACTATTCAAGTAATCACTTAACAGAAAACCAAATGAGAGGCCATTGTGATACTTAGCAGGTAAATGTGCTTGCTACCAAGTCTGGTGACTGAGTTCTGTCCCTGGAACCTACTTGGTGGAAGGAGAGAACTGACTCCCAAAAGTCTCAACATGTAGGTAGGCACACATGTGTGTACAACACATGAATAGATGCATGTGAGAAAATCTAATCAATACCTCCATGTCTGTAGCAAATGAACTAAGCAGATTAGTTATTCATAACAAAAGAATCCAACCTTCCACTAAAGACAGCAACAAGGCCGGGCAGTGGTGGCGCACGCCTTTAATCCCAGCACTCGGGAGGCAGAGGCAGGCGGATCTCTGTGAGTTCGAGGCCGGGCTGGACCGATAGCCTCTGAAACAATACAGAGAAACTCTGTCTCGTAAAAACCAAAAAAAAAAAAAAAAAGACAGCAACAAAGCTATGTACTGTGCTATACACAGCACTATTGGTTGTTGTGTTTTGGTTTTTCGAGACAGGGTTTCTCTGTATTGTTTTGGATGCTGTCCTGGAACTCGCTCGGTAGACCAGGCTGGTCTTCGAACTCACAGAGATCCTCCTGCCTCTGCCTCCTGAGTGCTGGGATTAAAGGTGTGTGCCACCCAGCTTATACACAACACTATTAAAGGGAAGAGATCTGAAGACAGACACCTGTACGATGATTTACACCCCCCCACACACACACACACTGCTTGGTGACTGAACCAGGGTTCGATTGTGGTAAGCACATGTTTTCCCACTGGGCTTTCTCTCCAGCTCCTACCAGAGTTTATGCTGCTGTTCTCCCCAAGAAAATGAAGTGGCAGGGTACATTAGCAGTTCCTAATGAGAGCAGCACACATCTCCAGAGCCCATCACACGCAGTAAAGTCTAAGAAAATACAGTTTTAATTGTTGAAGTGATAGGGGAATTGTATCTGAAAATGAGCTTAAAGGATTTGATAAAATTCTATTCTCTCTCTAATTCTCCCTTCCTCCCTCTCTCTCCATGCCATTAGACCAGCATGGCTTAATGTTGAGTCTTCATGGTCTGGAGAGGCAGGAGAAATACCACTCATTCAAGTAATGACCCTATCAGTTACACCTGTAATACTAAACAAGACCCAGTTTTCTGACCAGAAAAGTGGGATAATAGCTGCCTTCTAAGATAAACTGAGCAGTAAATCAGATTTTGTGCATGTGTGTGGTGCGTGTGCATGTGTAGTGCTTTGGATAGATCCTGACAAAGTCACTGGAAATTAAAACAAAACATAAATGCAAATCAAAGCAGTGAGGTGCCAGGCTGGAGAGATGGCTGGGAAGTCTGAAGCATTTGTTCATCTCCCCGGGACCTGTGTTTGGATCTCAACACTCAAGCGGGACAGCTTACAGACTGCCTTTAATTTCAGCTCTTGGGTACCCAGCGCCTGTGGACACAGGTGCACTTGAAGCCAAATACCCATTCTTACTTAGCAATGGTAATGTCGGTTAATCCATCAAATAACTGCAGAGGATACTGGGAATTTGAGGACCCTGGGGCTAACCTTTGTGTTTTTAATACTTTTATATCTGTACCACATAGAGTAGCCCATGTGAGGCCATGAAGAGCAGGCAGCAATGGGCTCATCAGGGCGGTGGCCTTCAGACTTTACTGAGGACTTCCACCCGGGGCTCTCTCCCCGGCAGCACCCATGTCAGCCGTCTAATATCCCCAGCTGGTCTGCTTAGCCCATTTGCAACTGTATGCTTGATTAATGTTCCAGATGTGAACTGTAGGACAAAAGAATAATAATCACCCATGCCCCTCTAAGTGAGCTGCTAGGTAGTAATTATCCAAGATAGGTGCCACTATAAATAATCTGCCTTGTATGGGAACGGTGACTGCAAATGAGAATGGGGCTTCATTTTCACTTAGGTATGCAGAGTAAGGTTATGTCCCCTGCTCATGGCCACACTGTCCCAGGTCACTGTCACCTACAGAATGCTACTTACTCATGGGGGGCTCTCCTGACTGAGGGAAGCTGGGTTTGGACAATCTGGCACCAGCTTGCACTTAACCTGTCCCCAGTGAAGATACTTGAGGTGGGGACTTGCGGTCTCAACACCCCGGGGGGCCAACCAGGAGAATCACCTCAAAATCTTGGCCACCCTGGTGTGTGTATGTATTAGGAAGTTCCAGGTCTGCCGTAACTCTGGTGTGAAGCCCTGCCTTCCTCTGCCCCAAATATAACTTGGTAGCTCAGATTTGCTGAAAGGGATTACTTTTAAATATAAATTACAACTTCAACTCTGCTCTTTAGAAGTAAAGTAGATGCCTGAATGTTAAACCTGGATCACCTTTTTCAAGGACTGGCGACAGGGTATCTGGTGCAAGAGCCGACTTCCCCCTCCGATGACCAAATGACAGTTGGGCATGGACGAGGCTGGTGCTCCTGCCCTTATGTCGGTGGCTAAAAAGCATTCTAGGCTCTCTCACCTCTTCTTGAACAGGTCAGGGCTTAGTTTCAATAAAGAGTAGAGCCGCTCAAGACAAGTCCCGCATGGCTTCCGACGGGGAGTGGGAGCGCCCTGGGTCTCAGGACATCAGTAGGGGTGAGGGGGGACACGAGTAAGCACCTCCAGAGCCTGGCTTTGCCCAGACTGCCTTGGGCGCTGGAGAAGGCTGTGAAGGGGTGTTCAGGGGAAAGGCTGGCACTGACGCCGGCTCCTGAGCTTACACCCTGCGGGAAGGAAGAGGAAGTGTATTCGGGAATAGCTTAAGCAGCTGCCGCTATTGGCCGCTGGGCCTGTCAGTCGCCTGGGGCTGAGGCTGAAAAGAGGAAGAAGGAGAGCTGTTGCCTGGAAGGGAGGAGGAGGGGGCTGAGCCCAGCGGAGCCAGGGGGCGTGGGGGCTGGGAGTGCAGGCCAATTGGCAGGGCGGGGCAGCCTTCGATCTGGCCACTTCTCTTAATCATCGCTCTTCTGATTCAGGGCGGCATTGTGTGTCCCAGTGTGCAAGAATAGCCCCAGAATCGGAAAGGCTGAACCCAGAGCTCTTCAGCAGGGAAGATTCCCTTCCCCCCTGCTTCAGGCTGCTGAGCACTGAGCGTCGCTCAGAATGGAAGCCATCGCCAAATATGACTTCAAAGCTACTGCTGACGATGAGCTGAGCTTCAAAAGGGGGGACATCCTTAAGGTGAGTGCTGATGTGGTCGCCTCTCGTGCCTGGCTGCCTCCCCTCACCCTGGTGACACAAAGAAGCGGTCCTTGCGCTTCCCTCGGTGCCCACAACTAACATTTGTCACCAGGTTTGATCGGACAGCTTGCAGTAGATGCCGTGTGGATTATTAAATGTGGTATCAGAGAGTTGGTGTCCTGTGTGCTACTTAACTGCCTTTGTGTGATGTCTGTTTGTTGATACAGGGCAAGTCTGAAGGGATATGAGTGATGACTCTACCTTGTGAAGTTGTATTTAAAAAAAAAAAACCCACAAGGAATTTTTAAAAGTCCTAGACATGAATTATTTATGTAAAAGCATTCCTCTAGTCTTACTATGCACAACCAGGAGACTCTGCATTTTGTGATGTGATCCTAGTAGATTTGAAGTTGCTTAGGGAGAGGATGGGAGGATATGCCCAACGCCACTGAAGAGTTCAATGCTTTTTATTTCTGAAAAACACCAGTGGAGTTCTACAAAATAGTGTTTGACTTGTCTTTGTACAAGTCAGATTTTGGCTTTCTTTAGAGGAACTTGAGCAATTACTGCACATTAAAATCTAATTGCACAAAAAATGGATATGGATTAGAAGTGAGCCACTTCACAGTTTGCAGTTTTGAACTCTGCTATGCCATGGACATTGGCTCCCCACCTGGCACATGGTAATTTACCCAGTTGGCTGGAGCAGTTTGCCCTACTGGATATCACTTTTCTTTACAGGGGCAAGTGTTGTCTAAGAGTGTGTAGACTTTAAGTGGGGAAAATGGAAGCTTAATATTTTGAGTGCTGCCTGTGTCTCAAGTTTTGATACTCCTTCCTCAGAGCTTCAGTCTAGATTGTTGGGATTTGCCAGCTTTTTTTTTCTGTCCGAATGATACTGTTTGATTTTATAGAAGAAGAAAGTGAAAACATGATTTATAGGAAGAACTATGAATACTCATTATATGAACCTGTCAATAGTTAACATTTGCTCTCAGTGCTCAAAGTGAGGGAATGTTACTGTGTGACAAAACTTTCTGAGGAGACACTACAACACACACACACACACACACACACACACACACACACACACACACACACGTCTACTCAGCCCAGATAGGGATCCCCCAAGAGACTAAAGTATGGATGTCACCAAAGTTCAGCTTGGTAAACCAGTAAGTTTTATTGGGTTACTTACAGGAGCAGAGATGACTCAGAGACAGCTGCATCACTCAGTCTCACCCCAGCCTGTGACATTTCACAAAAGCCGGGAAACCTGGAGCACACTGGACAGCCTGCAGGCAGCCCAAGCTCCGCTGGCTTCTGCGTCCACCTGGCAGCTGGTCTGTTCTCAGTTGCGCAGGCTTTCTTTCTCCCCTGAGCCTGTCCTTGAAGCGCAGCTTCCTGAGAAGGAGCCACTCAGCTTTGACTGCTTATTCTGGCAGGGAGGGGCCTAGTGAATCTGCTCAGTTTCAGGGACTTCCTGCAGCTATTTTGAGTTGTTCACCTTCCTGCTTAAAGAGCTTCCCTGGCAATAGGATGTTTCAGTCTCAGGAAACTGTTACACTTTTTCCACATCAAGGAGCTGGGCTCTGAAACTGTTACACAGATATCAGGGAGAGTGGCTGTGGAGTTCCCACATGCTGGTTAGAAATGTGAATTGCTCTTAGGTGGTGCTGAGGGCTGCTCTGAAGGTAGAAACCTGTGTTGTGACACAGAGCTCCTTGAGAGTTTCCGAATTTGAGAGATGGACAGAAGCAGCCCTGGCCTTAGAGCACTTTGCTGGTTTCTTAGAGGGCTAGAACTGGGAGAGAGAATTTCTGCTGCTAAATGACTGTGTGCTATTGGTACAGAGGTCACTTGCTCTGTGGTTACTGTGTACAGTAGATAATCCATTTATGCTATCTCATAATGAGGCTGGTTACTTAGGCACTCAACATTTGCAGCCTATAGAAAACCCTTAACCTCAGAGAAACCCTGTCTCGTAAAAACCAAAACCAAAACCAAAAAAAAAAAAAAAACCAAACAAACAAAAAAAGAAAACCCTTAACCAGGTTTTTTGTTTGTTTTATTTGGTTTGATTATTTGCAGACAAAGTCTTTTTTTTTTTTTTTTTTTAAGCCCAGGCTTGCTTGGAACTCACTATGTAGCCCAAGATTATTGGTGAGTTCCACCTGTAATCTGCCTGACACTGGTTTTTTTTTTTTTTTTAAAGATTTATTTATCACATATACAATGTTCTGCCTACATGCCAGAAGAGGGCACCAGATTGAATTGTAGATGGCTGTGAGCCACCATGTAGTTGCTGGGAATTGAACTCAGAAACCCTGGAAGAGCAGTCAGTGCTCTTAACCTCTGAGCCATCTCTCCAGCCCCTGTCACTGGTTTTTTATTGTTTATCTTGTTTTCTGAATGCACAGACTTCCCATTTAACTTAGCCTAGTAACTTGCAGGGCTTGGCAGCTGGCGCTCTTCTTGGCGGTGCATCCCATTGCGTGTTAACACCGCACCAGCACATGAGAGCAAAGCCAGGGCTCTAAGCAGCTCCACTCCCTATACCTAGACCATCAATGTTTGACAAGTCTCTCATGTCCTCCTAGGAAGTTTTACGATGAGGAAGGCGAGTCACAGTGTCCCACTCGCTTTACCCTTCTGCTGGGGAGAGAAACCCCTCCCTGCACTTGAGTCTTTCCACGCTGAGAGATGACTGGGATGAGAAGTCATGATGCCATTATTGCTTTCGAACAGTGACCATTAGCTGTTTGTTAGGAATCTTGTGGCTTTACCTCAAAAAATGAGAGTGAGTATGAATATGTGTGTGTTGACACAGTGGTTGCCCTTTGTCTCATAGTCTGAATCAGCTTTATGAAGAGGAGGGACGTATTCTGTGTTAAGAACTGTTAGTAAAACAAACAAGCAGTTTTCTTCCTTTCTTTGGGGAGTAAGCCTAAGTCACCACTCACTTTGGTCTCATTTGATAGTTCTGGTCTCCTAAAAGGGGCTAGAGTGACACAAAACATTTAAACTTTGACTGAAACAGGAAGATATTTGTCATCTCCATTTTTCCCCCTCTTGTTTTATCTCTTGTTTCTCTGCTCATTCTGAGGTGATATCTGTGTTGCCCATGCTGGTTTCAAATTCACCTGCTTTTGTTACTTGTCCTTACCTAAGATTGTGTTTTGCTTGGAGAGAAGGGTTACCAGGTCTTAAGGAAAAAACAAAACAAAAACACTTTTCCTGCAAGCTTCAGGCCTTTGCATGGTTGAAATGCACTTAGTTCCCCATCTTTGTGGTAGAGGCTTGGAATGGGCCCGAGAAAGGGCTTAGGGCTGTAGCTCAGTGGTACAGCACATGCCATGCATGCAAAAAACCCTTCATATTTTTAGCCCTAGTCATATAAAACTGCCATGTTGAGGTGCTTGTGTACGTACTTCAGATCCTGCTGTGTGGGGATCCAGAGGCCACTTCCCAGCCCACAGACCTTTGTGATTCTATTAGAGCTGGTCGCTTGCCTTCTTCAGTTCTGGAGGGACCAGTCCTCCAGGTGCCCTCTGGCTCACTACCTTTGCTGTCCTGGACTGCCTGAGAAATAGGTCTTGGGTTCACTTTCTGCCCCCTTAGCATCCGCCTGTCTCTGCTGCTTGGCTTATTCAGTGTTGTCCTTACTGAGCGTGCCTTGAACCAGACTCTGAGCGTTGCCTTGACTGTTAGGAGAAGACAAAGCTACACTTTCTGTCTTGAACAACTGAAAGAAGAGCACATCACTGTGCTGGGGGCTCCAGGTTTAGGAGAGGAAAGGCCCTTCTGAAGCCCCTTAACTTAGACTTTTTTTATATTTATTTATTTTATGGGGAAATGGGGAATTTCCGTCTTTATTGTGTGATCTAAGTACCTGTGTACGTATTGGCTATTAGGAATGGAGGAGGAAGCTATGAGAGAAGCTAAAGGGAGAATCCTGGGCTCTCTACCTGGCATCTAATAGTGTCTGGATCTCCTTTCTATGTGGTGAGCACAGCCCAGTCTGCTTGGTTGATCTCATCACAGGTGCAAGGCCTACATTTCTGTGTATAAGTCTCAGTTTAGGTATTTGAGTAAAACATGTAAAGAAATAAAAAGTAGGGCTGTTTTAAGTGTTGGTATACTGCGCTACCACCGCCCGGCTGACATAACTTCTTTCTAGTTTGTTTTCTCTGAATAGCCCTGGCTGCCCTGGCACTTGCTCCTTAGACCAAGCTGGCCTCGAACTCCGAGAGATCTGTCTGTCCCTGCCTCTCAAATGCTGGGATCAGAGGTGTGTGATACTACCACCCGGCATGACATTAACGTCTTTATGGCTGAAAGACATTATTTTCCAGATTCTGTTATTGGATATCCATGTTGATTTCTTGACTTAGCTGTTGTGACTAGTGCTGTGGTAAACACTAATTCAAATACTTCTGATATTTGACTTGGAATCATAAGGAGAAACTACAGGAATTGGGGCAGCTCAATTTTTTTTTTCTTTTTTCTTTTTTAAGACAGGGTTTCTCTGTGTAGCCCTGGCTATCCTTGAACTCGCTCTGTAGATCAGGCTGGCTGAAGATGGAGTTTCTGTCCCACCTGGTCCTGCAGTCATTGGGTCCCAAATAAACACACAGAGAGCTTATATTATAAACTGTTTGGTCCATGGCTCGGGCTTCTTATTGGCTAGCTCTCTTAATTATTTACCCATTACTATTAATCTGTGTATTTTTATATGGCCTTATCATTCCAGAGAATGCCCGGCATCCTGTCTTCCCAGCAGCTACATGGCATCTCTCGAGGCTCCTCTCTGCTTTCCTTTTCCCAGATTCTCCTATTCTGGTAGCCCCACCTATACTTCCTGCCTGGCTACTGGCCAATCAGCATTTATTCATCAACCAATAAGAGAAACATATTCACAGCATATAGGACATCCCCCATGATCTCTTTTCTGTCTAAATAAAAAGGAAGATTTTAACTTTAACACAGTAAAATTATAT